GGGCTAATATGTTAACATTATCCACCGATGGCTAATTTTGGTCATCAACTTGACACACCCAGGAAGAGGAAATCTCAGCTGAGGCATTACCACCATTAGGTAGGCCTGTGGGGCATCAATTTCTGATTGATGTGGGAGGGCCCTGCCAACTGTGGGAGGTGTCATCTTTGGGCAGGTGGGCCTAGGCTATTGGGGCAGGTAGCTGAGCAAGTCAAGGGAAGAAGTCAAAATGCACTACTCCTTCACATTTTGTGTTTCAAGCTCCTGCTTTGCGTTTTCCCTCAATGGTGACGGTCACATATAAGGCAAATGAACCTTTTCCTTCTCATGCTGATTTAAGTCATGGTGTTTATGACAGTGATGTAAAGCAACCTAGAACAGTTATGTCGTCTGTCAACTGTTTGCAGGTACCTCTCTATATGTTGAGCACACCGCCCATCCAAAGGCTTCAAAGAGCCATGAGATAGTCAGTCCAGAGAACAGATGAGAAATCTTTGTAAAGCAAGTATGTGAGTCTCTTTCAGGGACTGTTAGGAATACAATGCAGGTTGTCTGTGCCCTGTCCTGTGTATACATATGCCTGTGAACTGGGCTGGCCCTGCCAGGGAAACTCAGTGGTTGCCAGTGAGTCAGGCACCCGAGGCTGCAATTCTGCACAGCGTATGTGTGTGTGTGGGGGGGGGTAGTTTAGTGTTCACAGGGTAAAGGCAACCTCCTAGTAAGTATCTCCAGCAACTTTCCCCGAAGCCCCTTTTGCCAGGTTTGATGGCCCAGTAAAATCTGCTAGCCTTTTGTATCTTGAACACTATCTTCCATGCCACTCTTTGCACTCTCCTGGGGCTACAAGTTATCTCTTCCCACATTGACTTTTCCTTCCCTTTCCCAAACACTCCAAATCCATGCATCTCTGAACCTTTGTAGCTGCTGTTTCCTCTACCTGGGATCGCCTTCCTTCCACTCTCCACTTGACTGGCTCTTCCCCATCACATCTCATCCAATAGCGCCACTTCAGAGAGGGTGACCACTGACTCCATGTCTTCTCCATCTCACCTGCAGGCGCATCACCCTCACCACGCCCGTCCCGTCTGAAATACACCGTTCATTTACTTCTACCTTTGCTATTGACTCTGAATTTCATGAAGGTCTGCAAGAATATGGGGCTTTTGTTTTGTCTGATACTACGCTATACACCCCTCCAACCTCTAAGAACACCTCTTGTTATATGGTACATACTGAGTTATATTTCAGGGAAGAAAACCCTGCCTTATGAATGACCATGTAACAAATCAGCTGAGATTCACCAGAAATTACTTTCCTCGGTTGCCTTACCTCCTAGGGCAACTTCCTCTTCATACCAACTCCAGGCTTACTTCAACAATCTGGAAGGTAAGTATGACCCCAGAACTTTCAGGAAATATCTAGCTTTCTTGCATCTCATCTGGAGGCCTTATTTCTCATCATATTAAAAAACAAAATCCTTCCATTCTCAATTAAATAAAAGCACATAAATGATCAGAGTCTACAAAGTATTTACGCACTATTGAAAAAATGATGTCATATGTATGTCTCATATATGTCCACATATATGAGAAGAAGAAAGAGGGAATGGGAGAGAATAGGACCTTTTCACTGTTTTTTAGTATTCACCATAAGGAAACATCCTAAAACCTGGTTCATTTCTTCCCACTTTTTCCCAGCTTCCCATGAAAGGAAATCCCCTGGCATCTGATCCGAAAGAGTGGGAAGGAGAGATAGCACACCAGTTCCCACTTTGATGATCAAGAAGAGAAATTCTGAAATGGAAGAAAATACATCTTATGGCTCCTATTCTCGCTCTCATAACTCCTTTCCCAGAATCTCAGCCTTCCTTAGCCTGAGGGAACAATAGTCAGCTTCTTGATCAAGTTTGAAGTGACTGCAATAGGAAGTGTCACCATCAGGAAAGAGTTCCTGCCACTCATCAAAAGTGAGATAACACTATTTCTGATGATCTGATAGGTAACCAGTAAGAACTGACACACACAGTGCCCTGTGAATTATTTTGTTTCACAGACCAAGCTTGCTCTACACCATTATACAACTTTTGGATCAGTCCTTCCTGCCATGTGTCCCCGAAATTGATCTCAGGCTTGATAGGAGGCACCTTTGCCCATTGAGCCATCTCTCTTCCTCCAATACACTTTTTGTTGTTGTTGTTGTTGTCATTGTTTTGTTTTTAGAGACAGGGTTTCTCTGTATTGTTTTGGAGGCTGCCCCAGAACTCGGAACCCGCTTTGTAGACCAGGCTGGCCTCAAACTCACAGAGATCCGCCTGCCTCTGCCTCCCGAGTGCTGGGATTAAAGGCTTGCACTGCCAACGCCCGGCCCAATACACTTTTAAATCACAAGAACTAACTCATGTAAAGTATGCTATTATCCATGGTAGTGGAAGTCCACAAGAGAAAGACTCATTTTATTGTGATAGATGAGAATGTGACTCTGAAAGACTACTGACAGGCAAGACACAGTCTTTGAAGGCAAGGAGGAGCTTCAGTAAAACCATTTTTTTAGGAAGCAAAGAAGTTTATAATAATGCATGGCAGACAGCTGACTGCCTAGATTGACCAGATACAGTATACCCATGAGTGCATTAAAACTCTACAGAAGACAGAAACAAATGATAGTCTGAGAGTGCCAACTAGAAAGGACACCAGAGCATGCAAACCATCTCCAAGCCTCTGGAGTGGTAATTAGGAAGGAAACACCAATCAGATCAAGCTATAAGCAGCGTGTGTGTGTGTGTGTGTGTGTGTGTGTGTAAACAAAAAATGGAAGAATTTGTGAAGAATGCATGTTGTGCCATTTGTAATGTCCCACAAAGATGTAAAATGGGCAGAGACAGACTTTCACAGGATTCATTACAGCTCAATCTAAAGAATTCTTCTCATTTTAAGTTTTAAGGAGGGGCTGAAATTTTTGTCTCAGCATTGCTGGTAAAATTAACTGAAATGACATATGAGAACACACCAGGGACCACAGAGGATACTCCATACACATTCCTTGCTGCCATCCCCTCTTCTGTGGACATTATCGAGATGCAGGTTAAAGAGATGTCCTAACCCTGTAAAGGTCCATAATGCCCATGAAAACCACCTGGAGTGTGCGTGGTGAGCTGACAATGCTTCGAGGTGTGTGGGAAGCAGGGCATTATGCATTTGTGTTTCCCAATGTGGATCACAGAAATATCCCTAACAGGAGGAAGAGGCTGTGAAACTCCATCCTCTGCCACTGAGTTCTGGAATGGGAAACTAGAGAATTACAATTTCACAAAGTGCAGACTGATGCGCTTTGACTACATTCTTCTGTCAGGCCCAGATACGCGTTGATTCTTACATTGTTTTTGTATTGATCTGAGACAGGAAGAAGTTAGTACCTGCCACCAGTCTCCTGAAATATTTTCACTACTGCAGTTCCATCCACTCGGTATCACTACTACATCAAGACACAGTGGGGTCTGAAAGTGACATTCAGGACTGTGCAAAAACATTTCTCAAGGAAAGGGTTATTAAGCAATGAATGACCACTCTGCCTGTTCTGCGTTAGCCTTAGAGGCAGCTTGAAAAAAAACCAAAACAAAACAAACAAAAAAACCCAGATTCATACAAATTTGTCCTACAAAAGTTCCCTTGATCCAAAATTGTCATTTTCTAAGGAGCCTCTGAAACAGACAGGCTTATTCGAAGACAAACTAACTAAGCGTTTTTATTGTTACTTTTTTTTCTGTTATTCATTTGAAAAGCAATCCTCGAAACATGAAAATGAACATGTTTCATTTTCATGAAACATGAAAAGGAGGCAACAGGAACCAATTAATAAACATCAGATCAACATACTTTCTGATGAAAAATAACCGAGCATCTTGGTTGGGTCTTCCCAAATGTTTTACTACAGTGTGTATATAAAGAGACAGCTTCACGGTCAGAAGCTGGAAGGGGAAATTAGATTTGAAGACCCGGACAGTCAAATAGTCAGGGAAGCCTAATGGAGGCGGTCGTGGAGATCTGAGGAAGTGTTATGAAGTCTGAAGGTCAGCAGGACGGGGACACCAGAGCCAGGAAGGATCTGTTCTGCTAAACCATCCACTAATCATGGTGCTAGGGTGGTCCTCCTAAAACCAAATTTGATTCAGAATTTAGAATCTCTGTGGTTTCTGATAGGCTAGCTTTTACTAGGTCCTTCCATCCCACCCCACCCACAATTTTTAAACAGTGCCTTTAAAGAAAATTCTTCACCCCGTCTGTCCTTCTCCCGGCTTCCTCTGGAGATCCTAAAAGAAGGAGTTTCGAGTCTCTTTAGTTTCTACAATTCTATTTTTACAGAAAGGAGCTGAAGCCCACGGGAGTTCCCGAGGCAACGACCGCAAAATAACAAGTTTCTTCACCCTTATCTTAAAAATTCGGCCCAAACTGCAGTTTTTCTCACCGTCGCCCTTTGCTCCAAACAAACTGCCTCGGTATTTTAGGTTTAATTTTAACGTGGCAAGGAGGATTTCTCGGAAAACTTTGTATGGTAAAAGAGGAGAACCTTCCAGACTCACTCGCCCCTCCTCGCTTCCAGACCCTTTCACAAACAATGGTGAGCGAGGAACCGTGCACCCTGGTCGGCCTCCCAGCGCACAGACTTAGGGAAAACCAAGGAGAGAAGGGTCCCCAGGCTCCTGGGCGCTGCTAGCCCGGGGTCCTTCCTAACAGGTCCAGGACACTGCAGGAGAGCTCCCGGCCGGCTACACCGCACACCCGGTTGGCTGGAGGGTCTCAGGGCCCTATGGTTTCCGCACCTCTCCAGCGGCTGGCAGGGGACGAAGGGACTGAGAGCGCACAAAGTCTCCTTCCCTACTCCTCAGAGGCTGCAGAACCCGAATACCTGGACAGCACCCCTAAACCCCGAGCTGGGTGGGGGACGCAGTCTCCCCGCACCCCTAGCCAAGCAAACCCGCAGCGCGGCCAATCGTAGAGAGTTACCCGCCGAGGCCCGGGCGCGGTGACCGCAAAGGCATGTGCGGGACTCCACCGCCGGGGCTCTCTGCTCTCCGCAGCGCTCTGCTGTCTGTCCCGCGGCGTCTGTCGCATCGGGTCCCCGAGCCGGGGCCAAGTGGAAGCCTGAGCGAGGTGACACGGACACGACACCTTCTCCTTAGAAGTCTCCGGAGAGCGGAGCAGGGCGCTGCATCTCCGGGAGTCCGAGACCGCCGCCGGTCCCCTCACTGTCCGCCGCGCCCGACTCCGCGTCCCCGGAGGCTGCGTGCGACGCCGCTGGAAGCTCCTCCTTGTCGCTGGCGCCAGATGCACGGTGGCCGCCGCCCCCAAGTTCGCGCCGAAAGTGCAGCGCAGAGACTGGCGGAGGGCTCTGAGACCCCCGGGGCGGCAGCCGCAGGACCCGGCACCTACCTTTAGGGCGGGGTCCGGTCGCTCTTGCCCGGAGTCCAGGACAGGAAAATTACTGCGAAGGGAGGGCCCGGGAAAGGCGCCGGGTAGCTTCAGGACAAGGTAGGAGGATTGATTTCCAGAGCCAAGAAGACACTCCCATCCCGCCCCAGTTTGTTTGGAAAGCTGCGGGAGCAAAAGCGGGAGGCTGTAAGGAATTCTCCCCCTTGGTGCTTACAGGAGGCAGAAATCAACAGAGTTTGGCCCCTGCCTGGACTGTGTGTGACACCAAACACAGCCGGCATCTTGGCCCCTAGCAGAAAGGGAGGGGTGTTCACAAAGCTACACAATATCCAGACTCTGGTCTTCAAAGACAAAAGTGATAGTGTTACAGAGAGTAGCCGTAGACATTTAGTACATTTTGTATCTTTAAAAGGAGCTATACCTCAGTAAGAATGAAAGGTGGGACTCACTCTCTCCCTTCCTATCTTCCTTCCTCCTTCCCTCCCTTCCTCCCTCCTTGCTTCCCTTCCTTCCTCCCTCCCTTTTATTTCTGTAGCTCTCCCTAGGAAAAGGTCTGTATTAATAATGGCCTCATAGCTGCATGCTTTTGAAATTTCAATGCTGGTCAAATAATTCATTGTTTAGCATTCAACTCACAGCCCCAGCCTTTGGGCTCTGATCAAATAATCACATGCAATCAAATGACTCTCAGGAGAGAAGAGCTACAGACTGGGAGGAAAGGAGTGTAATTCAAAGTCGACAATGTGGCAAGTCCTGTGACGAAGTCTGTCATCTGTGATGGGCCTTCTGTAATTGTCTTAATTATACCAACAGCCCTAGGAAGTAGCACTTGTTGTACTTCCCATCAAAATATGGAAAGTTAAGATTCTTCATAGTCTCTGATCTTTCTACAAATTGCCGTTGACATAACTTGCATAGATTGTAATTATAAGCTTGACTCTTGGGACACCCGGGTAGTCAAAAGGATTTCTGGAATTTGTCTATCTGAATAAATATTCTGAAGAATTGCCATACATCTGCTGAGTTCTTCTATGTACTCTTCTTCGTGATCTCCAAAATTAAAGCTGAATTTTGCTTTACTCCTTATCTCCCAGGTTTCGTTTGATTGGTTTTTGACAGTACCTTACTCTGTAGTCTAGGCTGGTATGGAACTCTAGATCCCCTTTCTTCTGACTCTAAAGTACTTGGATACCCACTGTGTGGTGGTGGGGTAGGGAGGAGCATTCCTAGATTCTCCTCCACTTTGTTTTTATTTTGGTATTGCTATTATATAGAGTCTTTTTATCTTGCTGTGCAACCCAGGCTGGCCTCAGACTCATGGCAATCCTCCTGCCTCGTTCTTCCAAGTGTTGATGTTATATGCATGCAATGTATTCCTAGATTTTTTTTGTGAGCCACCATGTGGTTTCTGGGAATTGAACTCAGGACCTCTGGAAGAGCAGAGAGCACTCTTAACTGCCAAGCCACCTCTCCAGCACCAGATTTTTGAATAGGCAAAGAAATATGCTAAGGGGGGATATAGTACAAATTGATATTAATAATAAAAACTTGGAGTCAGCTATCAGGGGGTGAAAGCAGAAAGATCAGAGAGGCAGAGCAGCCATTTACTAGAGTTCTTACCTCTACCAATGCTCAGACCAAAGGGGAGATCCTGTCCTCAGACTGCATCCTCTGACTGCCTCAGTCTACTGCCTCAGACTACATCCTTCCCTAAGAATCCTCAAATGCCCAGAGCTCCTGTCTCCTCCTGCCTCATATTCCTCTCTCTAACCATCCATGTCTCTTTGTCTCCACTTCCTTAGTGCTGGGATTAAAGGCATGTGACTCCAAGTACTGGAATCACCTTTGTGTGCGCTCTGTTTCTCCTTTAGTCTGGATCAATTTCATCTAGCTCAGGGTGGCCTTGAACTAACATAGAACCTCCAGCCTCCATCTACCAAGTGCTGAGATTAAAGGTGTGTGCCACCACTACCTGGCCTCTATTGCTAACTAGTGTGGCTATCTTTGCACTCTGATCTTCAGGCAAGCTTTATTTCTTAGATCATAACCACAGCAGTAGGCCTCTGGCTGCTTTTGGGTGACCTCTGTGACTTTCCATGTTTTGCAATGATTGTGAGTAACAGCTGCTCACCTTCCCTGGAATGCTGCCTTTCCTGCTGGCCTATTTGTGGCCTTAGCCAAGTGTAGGGAAACCCCTACATGTACTTCCTTTTTGATTAGCTGTGAAGTTAAACAATACAAACTTTATGGTGCTTATTGGGAAGATTAAAATATAAGGTTGGAAAGAATTCTAGGCACTGTGTTCCCCCTCTCATACCACAAAACCATCAATTCAAGAAGTAGAATGTAGACCTTTAAACTAGCACAGAGGATATGAGCTACCAGTCATGAGCCGCCATGAGCCAGCTACACTTCACAATTCCCCAGCTCCTCCATGCAAAGCAAAATTATCTATGGCTATAAATGAAGGAGTTGGGGCTGGAATTCAAATGCAAGTGCTAGAGACCAAAAATATATTCTCACTTTAAAGCATGTAACTTCTATAGTTTTAATCCATATCATACACATCCTTAAAAATTGAAGACATTATTGTATGGGTATGTGGTTGCTATTATGAAGATGTTTTGAGTTCTCTTGAAAAATGATAAAGGATTAAGCCAGGACTGTAGGTTGCTAGCTTTTAATGCTTAGAAGAAATGTTTTTCAAAATGGAAACATATTTAATTGTGCATTTTGTGGGTGTATTCTAATAAAGTAGGAGGGATCAGTCATCAGATTGGAAGAACACTGGGGATATGGCAGGCCTTTCAGAGACCTCTGGGGTCATAATTTTTAGGCATATAAGGCTGGTCCTATTAATCTTGTATTTTGTGAATGATACAATCCATTTAAAATAAAAGTACACTGCTTCATGGATATATAACCTTTGCATATCCCCATGATGGGGAGAAGCCAGGCTCCTTATATTCCACAGAGCACTCAGGAAAGTAGTATTTCCTCTGTGCCCCTATGCAGGCTGCAGAGACCTAGCCCATCCAAGTCTGGGTTTTTGTAGCATTGGTGATGGGAAAACTCTCCACCCAGTGGGAAAGACCAACTCCTACATGAGTGTTCTCACCAGAACACTTTTCTTAGATCACAATTGACTAACCTCAGGACCAGAAATACCCAAAAGTGGGAATCTACTTTCTTATAACACACTAACTTAATAGTAATAATTCTTAAAGTTTACTTTTAAAATACTTCTCAAAGCTTGAGTATTTCAGGGTTTTTTGGGGGGGGGCTTGGTTTATTCTTTTGGTTTTTCATGACAGAGTTTCTCTGTGTGGCTCTGGCTGTCCTAGAACTCACTCTGCAGACCAGACTGTCCTTGAACTCAGAGATCCACCTGCCTTTGCCTCCGAAGTACTGGGATTCAAGGTGTATACCACCACCACCCAGCAAGTTGTTGGGTTTTAAATAAGATCTCATGCAAGGCTGAGACTGACTAAGCTGATTGCATTTCCATTTAGCTCTTCCTCAACTGAAGTGAAGCTGCCAGTTCCAACCTCTAGCTGTCACAGGGGTTTAATCTACTGTGAACAACTGTCCCAAGAGCAATAACTTCTCAGAAAGAATAACACATAGTGGCTAAGCCATCTATTTTGTGGCTTACAAAGATGACTAAAATGTCTGACAGCTATTACATCAGCAAGGAGCTTAGGTCTTTGTGGGAGACCATACTTTACCAAAGTTTGTCAGACCAGGGTCTCAACTAGAGTTCTGCTGTAATGATTTTACAGTTTAGAGGTTACACAAAAGAAGCAACTTTGAATCTATAAGGAAGTTGACTTTTTTGCTCCACAAATGAAGAGTGTCCCTGTGTTGTCCAAGCACAGTTTCAAAAGTTGTAACAAGGGCTAGAGAGATGTCTCAGGGTTTAAGAGCATGGACTGCTCTTCCAGAGGTCCTGAGTTCAATTCCCAGCAACCACATGGTGGCTCACAACCATCTGCAATGAGATTAAGTGCCCTCTTCTAGTGTGCATGCAGGCAGAACACTGTATACATAATAAATAATTATCTTAAAAAATTTGAAATGACACAGTATTAAGAACCAGAGTTTCTCTCCTTTCACAACACTTCCCATGCACATAACATGTGGAACATTTGGTTGTTGGAAACTACAATTAATACACTGGGAAACAATTGCTACTTAATAACAAATGGGTTAATATCCAGAAAATAAAGATTTTTTACGAGCCCATAAAAATAAAACCATGAAGACATAGCTTTCTTAACAAGTAATTCATATAATTAATAAATGGCAATTTTATCAATTAGATTAATTATACATTTATTATAATTAATAAAATGTGTGAGATTTCCAATGTTCATTTAATTACATTTCTTTATGTTGGATGTGTGTACAAGCAGGTAGACATGTAGACATCAGAGAACAGCTTATGGGAGTCAGTTCTGTCCTTCCTCTTTATAGATCCCGGGGATGTAAATCAGGCATTCAAGCTTGGCCACAGGTACCTTTATCTACAGAACCATCTTACCTGCCTTCTCAATCTTCAGTGCCCTCATACTTGCAAGGCTCTGAAAGCTTTTGAAATTTCAATGTTGGTCAAATAATTCATTGTTTAGCATTAGGCTTACAGCCCCAGCCTTTGGGCTCTGATCAAATAATCACATGCAATCAAATGACCCTCAGGAGAGAAGAGCTACAGACTGGGAGGAAAGGAGTTGATTGTAATTTAATGTTGACAAGGTGTCAAGTTTTGTGATCTGTCATATGTGATGACCTTCTGGCATTGTCTTAATTAGACAGACAGCC